TGGCACGCAACGCCTGTTAGCTTGCTGTTGCATGCGGACTTGAGCCTTTTGCATGTTGGTGCGGGGTTTAGCCAGCCAATCCCTATACTTCCGAACGCAGGCAGGTGAACAAGTGGCGTCAATGTCGGCAGTCCTTGAAAAACGAAGATCAGCAAAGATGCAGCCTTTCCAACCCACCGTGGTGTAACTTGAACGGAGTCACGCCGATCGCCGGGTGCACCAAGTGTTATAGGCGAATTCGATGTCGGGGAGGCGGTCCACCCAATCCTTCTGATCCGTACGAATGCGTGTGCGAAGCATTCCTTGAGCGGTTTGATGTGCCCGCTCCGTCTGCCCGTCTGTTTGCGGATGCCGAGCTGAACTTGGTTTCATCTCGGTGCCGGACTCTTTCATGAGAGAGGTTCAAAATGCCGACATGAAAAGAGTGTCGCGGTCGCTGACGATGTCTTCCGGAATGCCATGGCTGCAAATCCAGCCGGTGTGTAAGAGGCGTGCAAGTTCCAGAGCCGTGGCGTAGTACTTGCAAGGAAGAAATCATGCGTACTTGTTCAAATGTCAACGACCGTGAGAATATCGTCGTGCCCGAAGCGGTCACGGGGGAACGGTTGCGATTGCGGGGTTTGCTTCGTCAGCAAACTTCGCAAGAGTCGTAATATCGGGTGACGTCGGTAATGAGGTCGAGCCACCGGAATCGTTGCCGAAGTCTTGCGATCGTACGGTTGACTCCGAGGTGGCCGACTAGTCTCGAGTCGTGGTACTCGCCGAGAAGGCGAGTCCGTAAGCGACGGTCATGTGGGACGCATGGTCAGTCCTTGCCGCGTGAGTGAAGAAGCAAGTAGCCATCGATGACGCGATAGTGGCTGGCCGGCGGGTGATCCGAGGATGGTTACTCGTAGAGGGTGGCGTATTCCGGATCAGACTTGTATGCTCGCACAAAACGTTGATGAAGGGCTTTGTCGAAACTGAATGCGTGGTGAGTCACTGCGCAAATATCTGATCTTCGTGAGAGAGCATCCGCGGTTCGGTTGGAGAGGCCCGGGATATGTTTCAGTGTGAAGTCGAACTGATCAATGAAGTACATCCACCGAGCAATCGTGCTGCTCACTGTGTCTTGCGTCTTGTAGTAGGTCAATGGGTTATTATCCGTCACCCAAGTGAACCTACGACGCACGAGGAGGAAGTGTCGCCAACGCTTGAGTACCGTGACAAACTCGAGCAACTCCTTCTTCCGCGCATCATCAACCGAGTTAATGGGAGGCACCTTTTGGCTGAAGTACTCACCCATGTCGTAGCCGGAAGCGTCCGTAGTCACTCTCGTAGGCAAGGTGGGATCGTAGATACTCAAGACGAGAGCGAGGAGCAACGCCATCTTCAATTTGTGGAACAAGCTGCGGACTTCGTCGGTGAACTGGAAGGGCACCTGTGGAGACTGCAATCTGGACAAAGGTGCGGCGATCCGTGCGTATCCTCCGATGAAGCATTGGTAGAACCCGACCAATCCCATGAAAGAGCGAACCTCCGTGGTGTTGGTCGGTTCCGACCAATCCTGAATGGCCTTGATCTTGTAACAGCAATTTCGTCAAAACGGACATATTTTTATTTTTGAACGAAATTGAAACTCTAATTTTTTGTCTATTTTGTCTTCCGGGGGGATTAATTTGTGACACAAATGGGGGGGGTAAGGGGCAAGGGGTAAGGGGTAAGGGGTAAGGGATAAGGGGTAAGGGGTAAGGGGTAGGGACTAAGGGGTAGGGGATAAGGGGATAAGGGGTAAGGGGTAAGGGGGTAAGGGGTAAGGGGTAAGGGGTAAGGTGTGTGGGATTAAGGGGTAAGGTGATAAGTGGTTAGGTGTAAGGGTGAATGTCTTGTACAACTATTTACACCTTTTGTGTAATTGCATCAATTATCCCGTTTACTCTAGCAAGCTCGTCTTCTCCTTTTATCACCTGTACTTGTGGTCACTGCATTTCCTCTCATGTGCTTGGACGACTAATGTAACAACCTTATAATCGTCTACTCCACAACTGCTACGTCGAAAGCTATCCGGTATCCTAGTTTCTTACTGTCATCTGATGTGAAGTTGAATGGTGGCAGAAACCCTCTCGCCAACAGCGATGCATATGTGAGCATAAACACATCGCACTCATTGAAGTCGTGTTGCTTTGGAATGCCTTCCACTGTCCATATATGGTTGAAGCGTTTGGTATCGATCTCTTGACCTTATTCAATCGATCTCATGTACAAAATTTTTGCGAACCCCCCTGTCACCTTCATCGCGAGTTCTTTGTCCGGTGTCAGCGAGTCGTAGTACTCAAATTTCATGCATCTCAAGTCTGCCACTACGAGAGTCCAATGTTGGTTGTGCAAGACATGGAAAGGTGCAATAATCAAATCCATGTTGCTAATCACAACCTCTGTGAACCAGTTGTGAACCTTATCGTAGTGGATCTTCGTATTGCTATCAAATAGTTTGGCAAAAAAAAACGAGCTGAGAATTGCTATTCTAGGGATGCGTCCCTTTCCTGTTCTAGCCATATTCTCATTATTCGAGTCGCAGTCTACGTGCTTCACACGACACTCGTTGTCTAGTTGGACGAGGTTAAGATAAAAATTTACTATCTCCTCATTCAACAATTTTTTTTTCTACCATTAAGCTAAAACTGTGAACAGTCGTCGTGAGTTTTTCCCTTGTGTCTTCGTTATACGAGTTTGCTATGATGTCTTTATTCCTGATATCAATCGGCAATCGTGTGAGTGCTTCCATCTCCTGCTCCGTCAAGTTCGTTGTTGCCAAATGTACGGTCCATCCTTTTTTGCACCTTCGATTATCCTTCATTCTTGTTTGCGCTGCACATGACCACACGGCATGTCTTTATGTGAGCTGCTATTATAAGATGTGTAGTCCTAGTCATGCTATATGCACTCGGTTTGATGGGTTAATGCAAATGCCATAGCGAGTGTTACTTTAAAGGGGTTTGGTGCTTATACGAAAAATGGAGTTCACAAAGCGGAAATAACACAATGCTACATTGTTTATAATGCACTTTCCTCACTATGCATTATGCATTACGTCATTTATTGACAACTGAACTCAATCATTGACAGTTGGGGGGGGAGAGAGAGAGAGAGAGAGAGAGAGAGAGAGAGAGAGAGAGAGAGAGAGAGAGAGA